TTAAAGGACTTCAGTTAACTGTTCAATGTGAGATTAGGTATACTTGTTCGATCCCACATGATTCATGCACATTAATCAAAACATGAATTAAACATAAACCTTCTCCCTCAGCTCTGTTTGGAAATTTTAAAATGCATTCAATGTGGGCCAGCATGTGAGAGTCGCCAAAGATACCAGACATAACTGGCAAATACAGACCGCCTGGCAGCCATGGGCTTAATTATAATTGTGTTTTTGGCAAGGGTTTGAGTGTAACAGACATTGGTTTAAAGTCCAGCTTTAGTTTGATAATTGCAATTGTATAAATGGTGATTTGCTTGCTTCTTTTTGTTGATTGCATCTTCAGTGAGAAATGGCAAAATGTCAGAGGCTGAATAAGATTGAGAGAGAAACAGCTTAGTCCCGCATGACTGGGAGGAGGAAGAACCTGGCATATACAGTAGAGACATGATCTCACCAAGTGGGAGATTGTGCTACGTTGATATTAATAATGGAGTATTTTACCGGCTGTTTGGCGGTGCAGGAGGATACACAAGACAAGGTAGGCGTGCAGTGCATCCATATTTCAAAATGATGGTGTAGACCTGGAGATACTGTTGCCTCCTAGGGACTATAATAAAGCAGTAAAGGTCTCAACTATAGGTCAACACGTACAGGAATATTTATCCTCAGAGGGGCTAAATGTGGTTAAAGAGGACCCATAATTTACCAGCATAAACAGTACATACACTGCTTCACATATCCTTACCCAATGTTCATGACACCGTTAGTTATCTATCACATTGTATTTTTCAATTATTAATTGATGGAAAGGAAATTTTGGTGTAAGTGTTGGTGTTTAATAGAGGGTGTGAAATAATAACAGAAAATAGCCACAGTATAAACAATATCCTAGAGCTCACAGTCGGCCCCGACATAGCTTCCTTTCACTGAGCTGCGGTGATTTATGGGAAATGACGTGGATTCTTTTAGAGATGCTGCACTCAGAGTTGGGGGGATAGGTAATCCGTTGAGACTGTAAGTACTGCTGCTGAGTCATGGCATTATATTACTTCAAGGTGGTTTAATGGGGAAAAGGTGTCATTTTTAGAGAAAGTCCATAGATCGATGCTGTGAGGTTTAGCTGCTGTAACTAGCAGAATCCCAATATGCTTGAAATACAATTCATGTTTGTAATATCAAGTAGAACCTTGAGAAATGCTGGTCCAGTACCTGAATAATTGGCTGTGCTCTCAAATGTATTGAGGCTGAATATTCATGTGTTGTACGTTTTTTTTTTCTAAATGGAAACAATACTCTTAGGGATTTATCATCATTACAGGCCTCATTCGTGAGTCAACGACAGAGCTCTTTTCCAAGGATCCAGCGTTTTGCATCCCCCCACTGTGTATTCACCATCTGCAACAACTGAACAAAAAACACATTTTACGATAGAGTGTTAGATTAAAACATTGCTACTAGAAAATACATGAAAACAATAAACTGACAATTCCAACTCTCAATGCTACCGGCACGTCCACACAGCAGCTTTGAACAAATCTTGAAAATCTTGGAGCTGGGAGTATCTGAGAGCTTGGGGATTTTTTGCGAGCAACGCGACCAACAACCAATCACATGAATCTCCCGCCCCCGACATACAAAGCAAAAAACCCCGGGGATTTTATGCGAGCAATATATATATATATAAACTCCCCAAACAGGCGAAAACCTACCAGTTTCACCCACTGTCTCTGCCACCTTCCTCCATGCCTGGTTCCTCCGGTTTGTATCCCGGTAAATAGTTCTGGTCGTAAAGAACCGGGTGATTTGCTACCGTAATTTCTCGTTTGGAATATGAGGAAATGAACTGCGGTATGTCTCTCCCAGTTTACACGCGGTTTGATTGGCTAGCGCTTGTACTGTCAGATTTGCATAAACGGGATTTGATTGGCTGACGCTTCCAGCTCAGCTTCAAAAGTTGAA